GCAAAGACTAAGTTCAGACATCTATTCCCACACGTAAAAAACAAGCACTTTTCGGTCCTTAAAGCACCAGCAATCACTCCTTTCCCCCCTCTCTTTTCACACAAAAAGCAGGGGGAGAGCGGGGAAATTGTCACCATGGATAAATTTGTCAAAAGACCACACCACCCTTCTAATTCCCCTCTACCTGTTTGTGAATGCCAGGAGGGAAGAAAAAAGGCAAAAGGGAAAATAAGGCAAGGGAGAGAAATGGGGTGGGGGGAGTAGGGTGGGGCAAAGAAAAACCAGAGTGCAATTCAAACAAAAATGAAACACACGCTCTCAGACAGCCCACGGGGGTGGGATGCTCCCCCCACCCCAGGTCCTAACAACAAACTTCTTTATCAGAGGTTCGTTGTCAATCAATTAGCCCAGACAGCAGGGGTCTGGGAGGTGGGGGTGCCCGAGGAAACAATGGGCCTCCCTGTTGTATTACTATTTAATCACTTTTGCTAAATAAATAGAGCAGCCCTGAGGTGCTGTCATGTCAAGGGAATTTATAACAAAAAAAAAAAACTTCATTTTTCATTGGTCATTACTTTTTTCCCTTCAGGACAAGAGAGGGTTATTACTGTAGCCTTAAGTTCCATCTTTGTATTTCTTGCCTTTGATTCCCCCTCGGACCCTGCCACTTTCTGGCACTAATTTGTCAGGCTGAACAAAGAGGGGATTTGTACCTCCTGTAAGGTCTCAATTAGGAATGGCTTCTGCTGTATTATGTGCCATTCAGAGAAGACACAATGCCGGTAATTACAGGAATTTGCACTAAATGGCTGAAGAATTCATAGCAAAACTTTTCCCCCCTTTGGGTTTACCCCTCCCCAGGGCTGGAGGGGAAGAAAAAGGAAAGCAAAAAGCTCTTAATGCCAGAGAGATGTAATTACCAACAGCAGCCCCAAGAGGTTAAACAGCAGCCAAAGGAGTAAAACCATAAAAACTGACAGTTTGAAAATGGTGGAGGGATCCCCTCCGGCTCCTCGTTTCTTCCCTTAACAGGCTCGACTTCAGCTCAGAATCAGGAACAGTGCTGCACAGTGGGCCGTCCAATTTTACCTCCAGATTACAAAACAGTCACACAAGGAACACTTTCAAAGGTGAGCTCTGCGTCTTGTCACACCTATAAACAAGTCCTGGGGCCCTGTGATTACAGCGCTCAATTGCTGGGTTTCTTGATTGCTGGTAAATTACCGGAAAAACATTTGTGTATGCTAGGGCCAAGAAAACTATGTATCTATTCACTGTGAATGGACCTCGAACATCAGTTGGTACCTTTTACTCTATATAGCATATATGAATGAATCAGTTTAGAAACCTACTGGCACATACTCAGAAATAATTTGTTTTAGCATTGATGTTTTAACATCAGTCCTCGTTGCTGAACGTAATTTTTTTTTTTTTTGAGATAGGGTCTCAATATGTAGTTTAGTCTGGCCTTGAACTCACTGTGTAGCCCAGGCTGGCCTTAAATACACAGCAATACTCCTGCCTCAGCCTCTGAAGTGCTGGGATTACAGGCATGAGCTACCATACTCGGCTTTGCCAAACATAATTCTGAATTCCAACCAGTAATTTCACTAAAGAAGCACATTTTGCTTTCTGCTACAGAGTTGTTCCTGAAAAACTTGACCTAAGCACTCTCACAGTTCCAGTTCTTCAATACCATCCCCAACTCAAGAACCTTCAGGGTCAAATATAAATTCAAAATGATTGAAGATTTGCAATTTCATACAGTTCTACCTGACACCACCTCTGACATTTCTGTAGTCTGGTATGTTGGCTTCACTTCTGTCAGTTGCCACTTGACAGTCATTGATGTGATTACTTCATTAAACAACCTGTTTCCCCCAGCTGACTGCAAGTTTCATGAGGGCAGAGACCATGTCTACTTTCCTGCAGTGCCTAGGTGTGCGCAAGTTTCTGGGCAAACAACAAATGACAATAAATGGAAGAGACTGAGTTTCATATTTCAGGAAGTAGTGTTAGCCAGTGTAAAACCCCTGGAGGAAGGCAGGACCACAGTTAAATTCCAGGAATGGCAAGAAGAGCTTGGTGGCTGGGACTTCCTAAGCTTGGGCAGCTATGAAACTGGAGAGGAAGCGATGGAGCAACCACACATAATCAAATATAACTATCAAAAGTCCAAGCACATGTTAAGAAATATGCAGTTAAATATCAGCATATATTTTCAAAACCACGCCTCAGGCATTTCTGGATGGTCATGGTCTGTTTGCTCTGCAGGGACTCTAAATTTTAAAGAAGACTATAGAAAATCCTTTACTTACAGAAAGAATTTCATGAAATAAAGCCAACTGTACTATTTTATAGATGTAAAAGCCAACATTTGTGGTTCCTCTGAACAGCAACTCAATGATATCATAATAAGGAGCTGCTCAGTGTAATCTTCTACTTTTAAAGTCTACTCATCTAAAATATTTTTTAAAAAGAACTAAACAGATATAAAAACTTAAAGAGCCATTCTACTAAAACCAAGAAATACTGTGAATTAGCTTCTTTTTAAAATAAGACATAAAGCTCAAACTCACTAAAAAACAATGTAATGCAACTTTTGGCATTTGGCAGGTAAACATGCTATACAACCAGCTTTTTCATTGCATGTGTTTTTAAGAGAATACAAAGTTAGACGACACAGGTACAAAAGCCAGAAGCAGCTGGTTGAAATTAACTGTGCTTATGAGAAATACAGATCAATTTTTAAAGTTCCATCTGCTATAATAATCTGTGATATAACGAACAGCCTCCTAAGTAATTTAAAAAACAGAGGTTTCCTTAACAATTTTTTTCCTTTTTCTTTTGAGACTCTGCCCCCTACAGGAGATAAAGTATTCCTACCTGAAGCAAGAAACATTCTCCATGCACCAAGTATAAGAATAAAAAGCAGGTAGATGGACCATATGAGTCACAGAGCAACTCAATATAGCACTCTCTCCTTCAAGAGGAGGCATTAAATGAAATAGATTTGTACTTGCTTTGGAATGTATCACTCTATACGAGTTAACATTTTCCCCAACCCAAATTAGAAATCTACCAGTGTCCTATTAGAACTCCACACCAAAGCAAGAGCATAAAAGCTGAGCAGAGCAAAGCAAAGCAAGAGAGTTTCAGACTTGTTACTTCTGTCCCCTGGATTCCCTTCTGTTACCCATCCCCAGCCTGTCCTCTAAGCAGACAAATTTAGTGAGCTCCAAATTTAGACAGCAAAGAGAGGAATCCTACCACATGGAACCTACCGCAGCTGCCAGAAATCTCTCTTCCTACCCATTACATAATACTTTTTCTCTTCTACTTAGCTTCCTTCTCCCTGCCTCTTTTCAGCTCTGCCTTTTTTCTGTTTTCACTTCTCTGACTGCTGGAGGCAGTGGCCTTCCTCTACCTATCCGTTCTCCTTTTGGGTGCTAAGAACACAACAGTATACACTGCTCAGGTTGAAGAGGAAGTGAATTAGGTGACAAACACTGTATAGCTACTGAGGCTTTTCTTCACATATTTGCTACAATGTTTCTTGATTCAGGTACTCCAGTGTCTACCTTGAAAACTAAGGTTTTGGGCAAACAATAAATATTCTTCCTTATTCCAACAGATTTGTTGGTCTTATTGGTAATCTAATGCCATACATATAATTTCAGGATATACACAAAGTTAGCAGTTAACAAATTATTATTAAGTGCCTGAACTTTGAAATATAATACATGTACCAGTATAAGACAACTCTGGAACACCAAAGTGTTTGAACTATGCAAAAATGAGTGTCTCCTTATTTCAAAGCCATTTTTTAAAAGTAGCTGGCTGACTTGACACAAGGTCTGTCACACCCATATAGTTTCACACCCTACTATGGTTTAACTTGCTCTCTTCTCTAAACAAGCTCTGCAAATTTCTGCTTAATGCTCACTGAGGCCCTCAGGGCAAAGCAAGGGTGATTCACATAATCCTTCCCTGTAAGTAAATTATTTTTCAATAGAAAAGGCCATTATCATAACTAACCTAAATTTAGAATGCGGTTTTTAAAATTTTTCACCATCATCCAGCTCTTTTCTATCCAAGAGCAAGAATAAAACTTAAAATCTGGTATTGGCTGAAGGTGAGCTTCTTGCTCCTTTTTAAACAACATACTTAAGTATTGAATTAAATACTTTAAACCTTCCCAGTCAGGCTTCTGATTAAAACTATCTTTATGGCAAAAAAATTTATTGTCCCAAATTGTAGAGTTTAGCGAAAGGAAAATAATTTTGATCTACGTTATAGTAGACATAGATATGGTGTAGTGATTTTTTCCATTCTGCCATTTGGAGGAAGGTAGGAAGAAACAGGGAGTAGAGAGGAAAGCAGCAGCAATGGGGCTTTCAGATATCATCAGTCCCTGGTCCTGAACTCTACCTTGTGACACACTTATATAGCAGTCCCAGGAAGCCTGTGCTTCCTGGTGACAAGATCCAGCCCATGATAACACAGGAGTCATCTGATGAATAATCCTCCACTGTTCTTTTAACCATCTGCACACTTCCTGTCAATGCTGACTTTCTAGATTCCACCTTAACAGGTCTTGACAAGGTCATGATCAACAGCAGTTAACAACGACCAGCATCTGCCTTGCCTAAGGAGTATTAGTGGTCAGCTTTAAACCCAAATGTTTCTTGACGCAGTCCCAGTGACTGGAAATGGAATCACAGGCAACTTAGGACGCCCAAATTCCAGTCTGCTTAGGCTCTCTCGCCAAATCATTTTGATTTAGTAGGGTATATCATATCTATTTCTACTTACTTTACCAACATGGTCTGAGTAGTTTAAGAATGAACAGATTTCATATAGCAAAGGCACTGGAGGAGAGATGCTTTTCATAAACAGGGTTTCTGAGAGTCTTAGTGAGAATATTTTAAAAGTGAATTCCAATTATGGGATTCAGGATCACTCTTTAATGAGCTTTATGCTGAAAAGTTGCTCCATACCTGCACATTTGAAACTCTGAGCAGTGAGTCCTCGCTCCAAAGACAAAGTTGTCAGGATGCTCAGGAAGCTGGTGGTCACAGACTGACGTTTGTTCTTCCGGAGTTCGTGCCCACCCATCTGATCCTTGGGTTTACTCCTCAGTGTGACTTGCAGGTTCTGCTCAGAGCTCCTCGCTGCATTGGCAGCTGTCTTCAGAGCCTCCATCCACTCCTGAGCCCTCTGCCGGGTCTCAGCTCGGAGACGGAGGACATCCTGAGGGAAAATGACTTGAAAGCAAGAGTCACAGCCATCCAGGTGGTCTATCTGGACAGCCAGACACACATCTACATTGTAGCTCAACAGGGGATCCTCATCTAGCTTGCCAGGCTGAAAGGCCATAAGGTAGGCCTTGCTTAGCACAAACGTAAATGCCTTCCAGTTATTCTGGACAGTTAGTCTGTAAAGTGTCCCTGATTTGAGGATGTTTTGGTACTGCTTGGGGCTATCCAAGACAGGGGATGGTGGGAGCAGCCCATGGGCTTTCTTCTGTAAACAATGATTCTGTGTACAGTTAACATGATGGCCAAGCCCTGGTGAGTTCACGAGCTCATCCTGTCGTCCCATGTAACCGGGCACAGCAGCCTGCACGACCTCCCAGAGCTTCTGCCCCCAGTCCAAAGCCTCCCACGGTGACTCTGCCTTTAGCTGCAGTTGAGTGTTGTCATAGAGGACAGTATCCACCATCCTGGCCTCAAGGTGACCCAAGACAGATATGCTCTGGAAGTGTGAAAGCTGGTACGTGGCATAGAGGTTTTGATTCCCACTGCTGTCAAGACTGTAGAAGTATAAGTTATAGGGTGAGAGTTCTGCGTAACAGCTTTGCCAGTAACTGTCGTGATCCTTCCTAATCTCCAGGTAACCCTTCTTCAGAATGTTTGGGAATGTTTGTTTGTGCTCTAAAAAAAAACAAAGAAGAGGCAAATTATTAATTACTTATAAGAGGGTAGATGCAAGAAACTAAACAGAGCAGAGATCACATCTTTCTTGTTCAAACTAAACAAAATAGAAGTAGTAAAATTCCAAGAGAGTACCCAGTTGGCAAGACATAGCTAAGGAAAACTCTCTCAGCTATAAAACTGAACTAGGATGATGGTGAATGAGTGAAAGAGTAAGTATGGGGTGCGCAATGTCAACATGACTGGTAGATGTCCATGGAAAAAAACAGAAACACTGAATAACTATGACTAGGTATGCCCTGCGGGTCTAGGACCCAATCATACTTTGCCAGGATTTCTTGCTTCTAAGTAATGTTCCGCAGAGTACTGAATATACAAAGAGAAGGCTCCTTTTGCCACATCATTCCCTGCCAAGTTCTTTCTTTAGCTTGCTGAAGCCAGAAAGTGTCAATGTAAGAATCTGCAATGTGCTGCTCACAGACTCCTGTTTCTCAGGCAGGCCCATAAGAACCTAAAGCCAGTTTATGGGCCTTCTGCCTAGTGACTACGATTGCTCCCAACAGCTCACTGTTTAGATTGTGGTTTTCTCCCCAAGCCTGACTGCGCTTATACTCTTCCCTTAGCTTGTAATGTTCCTTCCTTCTTCAACCAGTGACTGAATATTTATCATCCTCCAGAAAGAAAGTCTGTCCTGAACCCCCAGCCCCGCCCCATCTCAACTGTACACATATACCCGAGTCATACTGGGCATCCCAATTATATTATTCCTCTATCGTAGGCTCTTTATCAGAGTGCATTAGTTTATTTAAATGTCTGAACAAATAAGTTTTAAAGTTTGTTTTTAAAAAGTCAATCTTTTCCATATGACAGTAAACTCTCTTCATCTTTATGGCACAGCACATAGTATAATTTCTAGTATATAATAGGTGCTTTAAAAGTCAAATTAGAAATAAAGCTCCTAATACAATGCTCAGCACATAGTAGGTATAATTCCCTTCCCCTCTGTTTCACAAGTTTATCTAGTCATGCCATCTTTAATCCACAATAAGCTGTGATGTATATCAGTGTAGGTATTTTTTTGTTGTTGTTTTTTGTTTTTTGCAGCATAGGGGATTGAGCCCAGGTCCTCTGCACTAAGCTACATCCCAAGCCCATCCATCATCCATCCATCCATCCATCTATCTCTCTTTTAAAATTTTGAGGCTAGGAATTTAGCTAAGTGGCACAGTACCTGCCTGGCAAGTGAGAGGTAGTGAGTTCAATTCCCAGTACCCTCCCCTCAAAACATTTGAGACAGGGTCTCACTACATTGCTACATTATTTAAGCTGGGTGCAAACTTGGGATCCTCCTGCCTTGGCCTTTCAGAATGTTGGGATTAAAGGTGTGTACCACCATTCCTAACTCTAGTTTAGTATTTTAATAAAATGGGACTTTGAGAGACCTCCTGGGACTTTATCAGACATGAAAATTATATCCATGCAGAGGTGAATACTCTTTCCTGGTAGAAACTTTTCCTTCAGAGATGTTTCTCAAAGTATTTGCTGACACACATTGGAGAAAATCAAAAACTAATAAAGTCGTTCTCTAAAGAAGACAAATCACACTCCCAGAGGGCAGGAGTTCTGCTTCTGGCTACAGAAAAAAAAAAAAAAATAAGATCTGGATCTTAAAATAGCAAATCAAAAGAGAAAAGGAAAGAAATGAGGCAGAGAAAAAGCCTATTTTACCTGTTTTACATCTCTAGTCCTGACATTCATTAGTATTTCTGTGGTAACTCAAAAGCCATTAATTTCTTGCAACCCACCCTAATCCCTTTGTAGAAAGAGATAATGGACGCCTATTCTCAGCTATCTTTCTCTCTGACAATGCAGCAAGGGAGGCAGTGCTGTTAGAAACCCTTGCTGCCACCTCTCCCCTTCTCATTTCCATGGGGCGGATGGCGGTTCAGCCCTCTCCATAATAAGGCTTATGACCTTCCCTGGTCTCTCCTGTGACCCAGCAGCTCAGCTACGATTCCCTGAGAAAGAAAAACCACCTCCCTTGCTTTTAGAAATTTTGTCATCTCTTCTTCTTACTTCCCTGAAAGCTTTTTACAACAACTACCATGAATCAGAAGAAGTCTTATTTATTTTTTAGCACTGAGGATCCAACCCAGGACCTCAGCACTGAGTGCTAACCTACATCCACAGCCTATTTATTTATTTATTTATTTACTTATTTGTTTATTCTAATTTTGAGATAGGATCTGGCTAAGTCACTGTTATGGCTTCTGTCTAGATGCATCCCCTAGCCTCATGTAGTCACAGCTGGGGCTATTTCAGAGGTGGCTGGATCTATAGTGTGAGACTGATTCATGGTGCAATGCTAGGATTAAGGGTGCTAGGATCAAGGGTATGAGGGCTTCACCCTAAGGGTGGGTAGCCTAGGTACACTATACGGGACAGAAAGAGGTTTGCTTGTAGTTTGTCACGTGCTTGCTTGCTTGCTTTGTTACCTTCTGCCCACTATGAACTGTTTCTCCTCTACAATGCCTGTCTGCCATGCCACCTTGCCTTGGAGGTAGCAAATTATGAACTCAAACCTCTACAAACTGTGAGCTGAAATAAATCTTTCCTCTTTTAACTTTGGATGTTGGGTATTTTGTCTCAGCAATGAGGAAAAGTAAGTCACTAAATTGCCTAAACTGGGTTTAAACTTGCAATCCTTCTGCCTCAGCACCCCAGAGTGCTCGGATTACAGGTATGCGCTACCACGTCCGGCTAGATGCCTGTCTTTTTGTTGTTTTTTTTTGTTTTTCGTTTTTCTTCCGGTACCAGGAATCGAACTCACAACCTTGCGCTTGCCAGGCAGGTGCTTTGCTGCTGAGCTAAATCCCCAGCCCCGATGCCTGTCTTTTAATTAAGCCCTAAATCCAACAGCAAACCTGACCCAAATTTCACTTCTCTGAGGTGGAGCTACAGCTCAGTGGAAGAGCACTTGCCTGGAATGTGCTCCTCCTCTAGAGGACCTGAATCTGATCTTCAGCGTGGCAAAAACAAACAAACAAACTAATAATAACAAAAACATGCTACTTCTTTCTAACTGCATAAGCTAGGTGGCGGATGCCAGCTTGGGTGGTGGAAGTGAAAAGCCCTGCTAGAGAATCTCCAAAGTAATATGGCCAAAGGATACAGTAGGTTCCAACACTCTTTTCCCCTGCAATAAGCCTCATCTCTTATCTCTGTCCCCAACTCAGCTTCAGTGCTCCGCAGATGAGGTGTGAGGTGTTAACCGAGACATCAGAGAAAGCACATTAATCATATGAAGTGGCTATTCTTAGAAGATACAATCTGTAGCAGAAGAAGAAAGCAAAAGTGTTCAGGAAATTATATTCTGGGGTGGCTATATTGGGGAGAGGGGTTATAGCAAATATTTTGTGTGTGATATAATTACAAGATGGCTGAAGAACTATCATTTCTCTTGAAGCTATAGCAACTGTTACTTTCCGTTGGATCTGAAGTTTATTTTTAATACACTTTCTATTGGATCTGAAGCTTATTTTTTAATATTGCTTCCCCAGACTGTATCATTTTAATTCATTTAATAACCCCACACATATCCTTGTAAAGTGTTCAACTTCACAAATGAATCATACAATCTCAATCTTAAATAATAATAGTGGGCAGGAGTGGTGGTGCACGCCTGTAATCCCAGCACTCGGGAGGCTGAGGCAGGAGGATCATTCCGAGTTCGAGACCAGGCTGGGCTACAAAGAGCTCAAGGCCAGCCTGAACTACATAGTGAGACCCTGTCTCAAAAAGACAAAAACAAAAACAAAAAACATAAGTGACTCAGGATCACTAAGATTTTTTTACTCTTGTGCAAGTGAAAACGAAAAGATGAACAAAATAAATCACTGTACCTATGAGTTTCACAATAAAATCACAAGACAGAAATTCTTCATGAACACAAAACAAAAAACCCGCCACTTCCCCCTTGGGCTCCACGTTAGCTCGTATGAAATCCTGGCGTAGTTCCTCCTCGGTGTAGCTTGCCTTCTCCTTGTCAGTCCCCAGTGAAGGGCTGTGCCGATAACTGCTCCTGCCTGAAGAGAAGAAGGGTTCCCTGGCGAGCACCTGACCCACTTCCGCACTGCCAACCCGCCCGAGTTCCGCTTCAGACACTATTTCCTCTCTCAGTTCGCAGACACGGTTCTGTGCTCCAGACCACCATCCTCATCAGTGACCGGGCCACCGCTAGGAGGCTGAGCTTGTCAGTATCTTGAGGCCCTTCCCAAGTCTCTGTGAGACCACCTCTTCACAAATTCCAGGGAGACACAGTTAAGTCTAAAGTCTACACTAGTTAGCTTGGTCTTAAATGTCTCATTATAGAAAATTCCAAATACCCTAAAGCATGTAAAAGAGTAAAACAAATACTGCGTATTCATTGCTCAGCTTCAAAAACCAGCAAGTTTCCTGTTTCATCTCTCCCACCTCTTTCAGCTCTTTTGTTCTGTTTTTTGCTGGAATATTTGAAGAAAAATCATAGACATTTTATCATTTCACCTGTAAATACTTTAGGGTTGCCGGGGATGTAGCTCAGCGACATTAAGTGCTTGCCTGGCTAAGCCTGATGTCATGAGTTCAATTCCTGGTACAGAAAAAAAAAACAGGGTATATCTCTAATAATAAATTACAACTTCAAAATCTATATATGGTTCTACTTTCACCAACATCCCAAATTAGTAATTCTTTACATAACACCCAGTCTATTTCTAATTTCCCAGATTATCTCAAAATATTTCTTTAATACAGATGATCTGTTCAAATTAGATTTACATACTGGGCATGGTGGTGCATGCCTGTAATCCCAGCACTTCAGGAAGTTGAGGCAGGAAGATCACAAGTTTGAGGCCACTCTGGTAACTTAGTGACTTACCAAGACCTTGTCTCAAAATAAAGATGGACTGAGATGGCCGGGCGTGTGGTGCACGCCTGTAATCCCAGCACTTGGGAGGCTG